GGGTCAGATCACACGCTTGCTAAGGAGTCTGGACACAGACAGCTGGGAGTCACGGGATGGTTGTAAGCAACAGGGTGTGGTGGGCAGAATTCTAAAACGGCCCCCGAGACTTTGGTCCCTTAGTATACACACACCTTCTCCCGGTTACTCAATCAAACACTAATTTAGGTGCTGCTTTGAGGGAATTTTGCAGATGTAATTAAGGCCCCAAACAGCTGACCTGAAGATAAGGAGATTATTCTGGGTAGACCTGACCTAGTTAGGTGAGCCCTTAAAATGGACTGGGCTCTTCCTGGAAAGAGATTTGAAGCAGGAAACAGATTTGATGAGAGGGATGTTCTCGTTGCTGGCTTTGAGGATGGAGGGGGCTGTGCAGAAGGAATTCGAGAGGCCTCGAGGAGCTGAAAGTTACTGCTGGCCAATGGCCAGCAAGAAAACGGGATGTCAGCCCTACAACCACAAGGACTGACGTCTGCCAAAAGGCAGAATGGATTTGCAAGCAGACTCTTCCTGAGAGCCTCCAGATGAGAACATGGCCCTGGAGAACACCCGGACTGCAGCCCTGTAGAGCCCAAGCAGAGAAGCCAGTCACGCTGTGCTCAGATTTCTGACCCATGCAAAGTGTGAGCTAACAAATGGACATGGCTTTAAGCCACTGATCTTGTGGTGATTTGTTACAGAGCAAGAGAACACTCACATGGGGGTAGCCATCAGATTTGCATCAGATCAAGTTACTTCGTGGCCCTGAGAGACTCCTTCCTTTTATTGGGTCATTCTCAGGAGCACTCAGACATGCTCTCCTGTCTCCTTTCTTAGAAAGAGCTCCTTGATGGTTCTGCTCCCTTCACGGCAACACTGCTCCAACCCGCTGTCTTCAATTCTTGCCTCTCCCCTTCTTAACCCACTCCAATGTGAGGTGGGTGGCCTCCTTGCTTTGAAACATTGTCTCTTCTTGGCTTTTGTGTCACCCCTGCTGGTAGATGTGTCAAGGTCTGTCATCTGGAGTTCCTCCCATCGTGAGTATCTTGCACAGCGGTGGAGGCCCACGAGCCAGGGGTGGTTGGGGGGATTCTCACTCCTCTCTGAACTCTGAGACGCGGCTTTGTGTGCCTTCTTGCGTGGGTCAGCTCCACTCCCAATATGGGTACATCCAGGTCTTCCAGGTCTGGCCACTTGTGACCACGTTAATCAGATGGGGCTCAGCTGCCCCGTGTAAGGATGTCTCCTTACAGGGATCTGAATCACAGCCCTCTCCAGCAGTGGCGGCTGCTTGTACTAATCCAAGAGAGAAAAGGAAATTCACGTGCTCCTCCTCTGCTTGATGAGTTGGGCACATCTTGTCCCTAGACAGAGTGGCCACTGCAATTTGTTGACTGCCTTTACTTGGCATTTTACAGAATGATCTGGCACATATGCAGACACAGGTGGCCGATCCCAGTGCCCTGAAGGGCTCCGCAGAGCCCCTGGTGGGTCTGTGACTAAATGACCACAGCCTCCTGCAGGAGCAGGGTGCCAACCTCTGCAGGTGGCTGTGTCTGAGCTGGAGCCAGGTCCTGATCTCCCACTGAGCGGGGTCCTGCCCTGGTGGATGCAGAATCATCTGAGGCGGGCACTAAATGCTGCTTCTCACCTGTCACAAGCCCCTTTCCTGCCTACTACCGGTCCCCCAGCACTGAGGAGCACAGCATCCTTACCTTTTAACCAATACAACTTGGGGTCTATGTGATTGGGGAAGTTTGCCCCCCAGCCGCAGCACTTCATCTGCCCTCAGCCTTTGGTGGACAGATGTGCAGCCATGTACCAGGAGTGCAGAGGTTCCCATTTGCCTAGACCATGCACACTATGGTGGGTACAGCCTTTAGATGAGCCCACGCGAGCAAACCTCTGCCAGCACACGGGGGTCTGGCAGAGAAGGTGGAGACACATGATTTCCCCACTGCCTCGCTGTGTGACCTTGGGAAACCACTCAGCACTGCTGTGCCAGTCTCCCCCTCCCCCATCATATGGAGAACAACACCTGCTCCTCGCTGCCTCCAGGAACATGATGGACATGAAACAGTCTGCTCCTCTCAGCTGTGCTCAGCTCCCGAAGGCAGGCTGCGCAAACACCATATAAGTACCAAGAAGAATCATTTCTGAAAATTCCCTCTCCTGAAGGCATTTTTATAGTTTGCTTCTTTGGTGGAAAGGTAATGGCGTTAAATTTTACGAGGACCAAGAGCAAGACAGGGATCTGAGAAGGAGAAGGGTTTTGTAGCACACAGCCTGTGCAGACAACAGCAAAAACAAGGTCCCCTGATAAGAAAACTCCTCATATGCAAGACAGGAAACCTGGTCATGCAGATGGGGTTTTATGGCAATACTGGAGCCAAGAAACTGCAATCAATATTCGTGGAAGTGGAGGGAATGGAAGCAGACCAGATGGGAGTCACGTAGTAAATGTGTGGTTGCAGGGAGTCCTGGTTTTGTTCCAAACAGAAGAGGGCTGGGAGGAGACACATTGAGAGCAGGTTTGGGTGCATGGGCCTCACTGAGGCTGAAGCCCAGCTAGGTGGCGGGGAGACCAGGCTGGAACAGGGCAGTAGCCTGGAACCAGTGACTGGAATGTCACAGGCACCTCGTTAGGGGTTCTCCTTGAGAAAAGACCACTGCTTAGCCTCTTCCCCCTTCCCTCTCTACACCTGTTCTTTTCAGTCTGCATGTCCAGGCCCACAACCCTGGTGTCTGGAACCATCGTTTTTCAAGGGAGGGATATTTCTGAAAAGGCTGGGAGGATCCCCTCAATTCACTCCAACCTCTAGCCCAGCAGTGATTTAATATCTTCAAAGAAGGTGTTAGTTTCCTCTGGACTTTTGAAAATAAAAACACCCCCAATCCTCAGCCCTCAGGTGTCTGTATTATATACCCTCATGAAACGATTATTCCAGTTTCTAAGCTATATTTACACTGTAATTATGTTATTTTCCTTTTTGCTGTAGCCCTGTGGGTTCTTTCTTGGCTCCATCTATCTGGGTCTTGATTAGAAATCCATGCTAACCAACTTAAGGCTGGTTATTGGAAATCCATCGTGACTGACAGAGCAAATGAAATCTCTTTATGTTTAGTCAGCAGAACCAGCATCCTACTTGTGCCAGTGAAGGCCTCTGAGGTTTGGGGAATTTGCAAAATTTAGGGGCTTAGCTTACAGACACAACATCCAAATGGCTCCCAGTTGGAAGCAGGCAGTGGATTTGCATCCCATGTTTCTGGCACAGTCAACTCATTAGGATTTGTTGAGGGCATTTTCCTGTGCTGCTTTCTCTCTTCTCGCCTCAAGCAAAGCAATTACAATTTAACCACATGGCCAGAGGTGCTGGCAATGTAAAAACAGAGCTATTACAACTTGGAAGGAAAGACAGAAAGTGATAGTGAGTAAATCAGGAGGGTACTGAAGTTCCCCACAAGGCAGCCTTCAATCTACCATCAGCTTGGAGGCCACACTATAAAATAAACAGCCTGGCTAGATGAGGACAGCAGCTTATAGCCTTCCCCTCCTATCCTGAATCCCCAGAAATGATAGGAAATGTGTTTTTAAAAAATCACCGACAATATTAGAAAGCAAGGGGTGCTCTTTGTATACCGGAAACCATGAGAAATCATAAAAAAGGAAGGGAAGATTTTCTCTTGAAAAAGGAAACTACAACTCAAAATGCACCCAGAAGAGAGCTGCTACAAAAGGAAGAGACGAGTCAGAGGTGCTTCCACCAGAGGTGCCGGCCATCAGGACAGGAGGGGACCAGACACTGGGGTCAGATACACAGCCTAGGGAGCCATTATCAGCCAGGAGGAACAGAAAGCCCAGAGGGTGAGCTTGTGAGCCAACACCAAGAAGAGTCACAAAACTCGACTCTAAAAAGAATTTACATGTGAGGAAACAGAGTTAATGCAGCAGACAGAAGAAAATTTTAGAATAAGTATAAGAAATATCCTCAAAGAGATGCAAGAGGATATCATACTATTAAAAGAGATGCTAGATTTTATCACCAAAATAAAAAACTCAACATACAAGCCAAACACCACAATGGATACAGCTAAGGAATAAATTTAGTGAGCCAGAAACCTGAGCTGAAGACCCTCTCTGGAACTGTGCTGTCCCGTAGATACTGTAGCCACAGTCACGTGAGCCACTGAGCACTTGGAATCTTGGCTGGTTTGAATTTGAGATGTGCTAAAAGTATAAAATACATACCAGATTTTGGGGGGAAAAAAAGATCATAAATTATCTCATTAATATATCCTTTTAAAAATACTGATTACATGTTGAAATATTTTGGATACATTGGGTTATATAAAATTTGTTATTAAAGTGAATTTCAGCTGTTTCTTTTTACTTTTCTAATGTGGCTACTAGGAAATTAAAAATTGCGTATGTGGTTTGCATTACACGTCTACTGGACAGCGTTGCTCTAGAACAGAGTGCGAAAGGATCGGGAGGGTATGAAACGCTGAGAGATGGAAGGCATATCTAATGAATCAGCTCTGCTTCTCCTTGCAGAAGGAAAGAAAGAAACACTGAAACAATGGAGGAAAAATGTCCAGAACAGAATAAATACATGAGGCCTTCTGATTGGACAGGGCCAGAGATGCTGCAGGGAAGCACTCCCACTAAAGTTGGAAACGAGGTAAAGCAGCCTGTGTTGATCGTCACCATTTAACACTGTCCTGAGGTTCTAGCCAACGCAGCAACACAACAAAAAATCAGACATTTTCTATTTGCAGGTGAAATGACTGCCCATACACTCTCCCCTGCCATTCCCCTTTCGAAAGGCCCGGCACCAACAGGACTTCTCCACGCCTGCCCTCCATGGCCTGGGCAAAAGGGGGACGTATCAGCACCTCCTTCTGGCCAGGCAGGCCCGTCATGATCCATGAAGAGGCGACATGAGCAGCCAAGAGAACCTAGAACAAAGCCATCACTGCTGGAATAAATCGCTTGTGGGGGTTTTGGGAAGGGTGCTTACCGACGGATGGCATTGGCGAACTCCGCAGCCAGCTCACTGTCACTGCATGTGGTCCTCAGTTCAGCCAGGGACAGAGCTGGGGAGGCAGCGTCTGCACACTCCTGAGGAGAGCAAACATGTTCCTGTGAGACCTAGAGCCGCCTGAGGGCACCCTGGAGGTTCACATATGCTCTACCCCATGTATCCTTGACCTTCGGTCTTTGCAGGCTGGCCAGGGGGCAGTGAGCACTCACTGGGAGCCAGACACTGGTCTGAGTGCTCCACGGAGATATTCTCTTATTTAATCATCCTAATGACCCTCTGAGGTGGATGCTATCATTATCCTCATTTTACCAAGGAGAAAACCAAGGTACAGAGAAGTGACACTGCCTCAGGTCACCAGGTAGGAAACAGTGGAACCAGGATGCAAACCCAGGTCAGCTGGCTCCAGATCAGTGCCCTTCACCACTGGGTTAAGCCTCCCGTAATTTATATAGAAGACAAGTGGGAAAAACACATGAGGATCCTTGCCCCCCATCCCACTGGGAGAAAACCAGTCTTCTCTAGATTTAGGAGCTTTACTGGGTTCAGTATAATCATCTAGAAAGCCCAAGAAGGAGGAAAAAAGCAGTGCACTCCCACTCATGTGTTAGCATTAGACAGGAACTTGACCTCATTGAAATCAAATCCTCTTATTTTACAGATGAGGAAACATAAGAGCCAGAACTCCTAAATCCTAAACTGAGTTATGACTGTTCGTAAAGCAGTTCCCATACCTGTCTGAGCACTCTACGTTCTCTGTGTATGGACAGAGGGCAGCAGCGAGGCTGCACGCTCATCTCATAATTTGCTCAGCAGACATTTGCTGAGGATCTACTACACCCCAGGCTTGAGGATAAAAAGCTGTGATCTGTTGCAGGAGACGGAACATAAACAAAGTCATAACATAATGGGATGAGAGCTACAAAGAAGTCTGAATCCAGAGCAAGGAGTCCAGATGACAGGAGGATCTCTGCAGCCCACTCTGATACAGAAATGCCACCACACCCCGGGGCTCCTCTGCAGCAGCACAGCCAGCATCTGAACACCCCTTCCCTCTGCCGTGTCCTCCGCCTGCACTGCTTTCCCCCCCTCCTCTCATCTAGCAGTCTTGTGGACCCAAGCCCCCATCCGCCAGCCCACGGAATCCCCAGATTCCAACACCCCCTCTCTTTGTATATCAGCTCCCACGTGATGTTAACATTTCTTAAGTCTCCTTAAAGGTAGGGACAGCTTTCTCTCACCCAGTGCCTCTCAGTGAACACATCTGGTAACATCTGTTGCATAGCGACAAGAACTGCAAAAACGTAATGCAACTTGGGCAAGATTTGGGACCCAGCTTGTTGGCTGGAGGGAAGTTTTAAAACAAGCATGACACCCACCCTATGGTGCAAGAGTGGATGTCTAGAACCAAATCTGGCTACCACCTGTTTTTATAAGGCCCACAGGCTAAGAATTATTTTTCTATTTTTAATATCATGAAAAAACAATCAAAAGAATATTTTGTGACACGTAGGAATGATATGAAATTGAAATTTCAGTGTCCATAAATAAAGTGTTATTAGAACACGGCCACACCCATTTGTATCTGTATCATCTCCGCTTTCACACTACGATTCAACAATGGCAAAGTGGAGTAGTTGCAGCAGAGTCCCTGTGACTCAAAATACCCAAAATATCGACTCTCTGGCTCCTTACAGTTTTCTGACCCTGCTCCAGGCTGCTTGCCTCATCTACCCACAATTAAGACCAAATGAATAGCCCAGAAGGGAGAGTCTATGAAATAGTAAATGGATCTCATATTTCAAAGACAAGATAATCAGCTTACTCTGATTTCATTACCTGAACAACACAAGGTACTCTTACAAAGCTTCTTCCCTAATGCACAAAAAATAAAGTTAAAAAAAATCATCTGGCCTTCTCCATCAAAGAGATTTCCGTACTTTGAAGCCATTCCACATAACACAGGGCGTCCCCCAGTGAAAATAAATACCAAGAACCGGGGGAAAAGGCTCTGTTCGTGGGCCTTCTGGCAAGGGCACCTCCAGCCCACCCTAAGAACACACACAGACACCGGAGCTCTGTCTCCCAGGCTCTCTCCCAGAGTGACTGCTGACCCACAAAAGGCTACACACAGATTTTTAAGGTGTCCAGCATGGAACAGAAAATCCCATCGTCTTGAGCCCCCAATATGAAGCAGCTCTGCGCTGGCCGCGGCCCACCCCGGCTCGCCGCCTCCCATGGATCGGCAGACGGTGTCCTGGCGCACTCGCACGGTGACCTTTCCAGAGCCACAGCTGCTGCAAACCCTCCAGCGATTCCTCACTGTTGTCGGCATAGCACAGAGGCTGACATCTCCAGCTAGTGTATCAATTCTCTTCCCTCTGGGTCTTTCCCCGGGGACATTCCACCAGCCCGAAGTGGACTTTCTTCTCTGCCCTGGCCCTCTGCATCAGGCCGGTTCCCACTGTCCACTGGGTCTCAGTTCAGAAAACCTGACCCCAATCTCCAAATCTGGATTTTGTGTCTGGCCTGTGGCCTCCCATCGCACTCAGAATTGATCCTCGTACTCAGGACGTTGTGTCACTGTGTTATGATCATCTGTTTGCCCATCAGTGTCCCCCACTGGAATGTAAACTCTTGGAATTGCCCCCAGCACTGTCCAGGACCAAATCACATCTCTCAAATGAAAGGATGACTGAAAAGCAGCCGGGATCTTGGGAGAGCTGGCCCAGCCGAGTGGCATGGCCGTGGCCTCCCTTGGTTCCTTAGTAGGTGAGAGGTGGGCAAAGTATAGCTGAGGCCCTTGGTGAAGCATGCTTCAAAGTGCCTGTTTAGGGAGTGACAGTTCATGCCACACGGCATCTGCAAGTTTGTTTTCTTTGCCGTACACAACCGTCCTGGAGACAACCCTGCCTTTGGGCTGTGAGAAGCCACTCATTAGACCAGCAAGTCAGCTCATGCCCACAAGTCCTGGGCCTCAAACAAACCGGGGTCAGGAGAAGCTGGCATTTATTAGGAACAGGAAATACGGTGCACAGAATTTCAGTACCCTGGGACAAGGGGTATCATTCTTTAGGGTCCAGAGCTTTTTTTCCCCCAATGCAGTATTTGGAATAATTCTGAAATATGGTATGACGGAATGAGCTTGGATTCTAGGAAAAAAAACAACTGTGGGCTAATGACAGTCTGAATTTGCAAGATGATATCACCTGGCAGCCCACTCCCTGTGATATCCTGTGTGTAATCCAGCCTTGCCTTCCTCCTCCTCTGCCTCAGGCTGCTTCCTGCTTCCCACCTCCCTGACGGCAGAGACACCAACAGAAGTCAAGGAGGCAAGAAAAAGAGGAGGAGGAGGGCCCGTCAGCCAAATTTGGATTAAATCATGATTCTGCCATTTATTAGCTGTGAGACTCATTTCTTTTGAGCTTCATGTTCCTCATGTAAATGGGATAACTGTTTCTTCCTCAGATTTCTGTGATCGACAGATGAGGGCTGCTGTGTGAACCAGGAGAGGAAAAGGAGGTGAACTAACATCATACTGTTGTCCAACTGCAAGGTCACTGCCCTGATAAGACCATGACATGTGGAAACGCTTTCACTATTACATAAAGTGAGATGAAAAAAAAACCCATGGATTTGGTTATTTTGCACTCAAAATGTCACCTTCTTTTAGATATCTAGAATGGCCTGTAGTTCCTATGCAAATAAAGAAACTGAAGCCGCAGGGCAGTGAGGGGCGGTGGTGGCAACTGAGCAGGAAGTGAGGCCCAAGCCTGAGGTGTCCCCGTGCCCCTTGGGTCCTACCTTGCCGGACTTGTCTTTGCCGCCGCTGCTGGTGGAGCTGAGGGACCGCATGCGCTGCTCCTTCTGCTCCTCCACCTCGGACTTCAGGTGCTCGATGTGCACCAGGTAGGCCTGCTCCTGGGCCTCCCGCGTGCTCAGCTTCAGCTCCAGGGCCTTCTTCTCTTTCTCCAGGAGGTAGAGCTGGGCCTTCAGCTCGGCCATCTCCTCCTAAGGAGTACAAAGCATATGAGGCGCCCATGATGTGAGAGCAGGGCTGATGAGGCACAGCACCTGAGTGAAGAGGGGGTCTGCGCCTATAACCCCAGACCTGCAGTAGAGTTATCACTTGCAGCATAAGATGACTGGGAAGAGACACGACAGCTGCCTCCACACATCCGAAGATGGACATGTGGACAAAGCCATGTGCTTTGTCACTCCATGGACCCGAACTAAGATAAATGGGTAGAAGTTACAAGCAAGCAGATTTTGGTTCACTATAAGGAAAACCTTTCTAACAACTAGAACATTGCCCATCCTCCATCAAACAGGCACATCTGTCTTGCTGGAAACCAGTTTTCTAGCTTGTGGAGGCTGAGCTCCATCAGTCAAAGAGGTCGTAAAAGAGGGTCATGCATACAAGGCTGAGTCGAAGTCCCTTCCATTTCCCATTTCCTTTTCCATTTTCCATGGCACCAATCCATCTATTTCACCACGGTGTCCTGCAGCTGAGCCAGGAAGGCGGGGAGGGTCCACAGCAATGATCTCGCCTCCAGCTGTCCTTCAGGGGGCCCAAATGAAGCCAACAGAAACAAAACCCTTCACAGATGACTACTCATCAGGAAACTTCTCAAAGTATCCTAGAGAACTCAAGTTAGAGTTTTCTACAGAGAATAAGAAGTGACTCCAAAATGGGACAGTGCCATGTTGGGACCAGGAGCCGGATAACACTGAAAACCACCAGCATTTATTGAGCAGGCAATACTGTCTTAAGGGTTTACATGAAGTAACTCACTGAATCCTTCCAACTTGAGGTAGGTGTTATGTGGATCGCCATTTATGGATGGGAAACAGAGGCATGCAGAGGGAAATCCATCTGCCCATGGCTACTGGGTAAATTGTGGAGCCAGAGGTTGAACCGAGTCCATCTGGCCCTTGCATGACTCTTGTCTCCTCACCTCTGCTGGAGGGTGAGTCCACCACCGCATGACCATCAGGTCAATCTCCCCAGCTATCTCTGTGATCTTACTCAAAAAATTCTTCATAATGCTAAGTCACTGCCTTGAGAGGGATTCACCAAGGTCAGTGATTCTGGTCACCCCCAAAGTGACCCCTCTCTGAGGAAATAAGCCATTGGCCTGGTGTGCTCTCCTGGATCAGCCAGAGCGGGGTGGGGGTGGATGTTCTTGCCCTCCAGTGTGGGGAAATACCTAGAGGGACCCACCACAGCTTGTCATACTTGAGGCTGGGGTGCATGATACATGGAGAAGGCAATGTGCTCAGTGACTACCCAAGAGAAGAGGCCAAACCTTTTCTAAAGATGAGACATAAAACCAGGATGAAAGGTATTTCCATACACTGAAGCGTTCTCATCTATTGTCAGTAGAAGCAGGATTCTGAAGGTTCTGGCAACACTGCATAATGAGCTAATGTGGATAATTATGCCCAGAACAACCATAAATGCAAGCTTGAAAGAAGGGAAGATGAATTCATGGGTTCCAGAAACGAAGAGGGACCTCCGCCCAAGGGAAAAGGTGAGGTGGCCACCGCACTGGCCAATGGCAGCAGCAGACAGGTATGGAGGTGCTAGCACCTGGGACTTTAGCACTGATGCAAGGGTGGGGCAGAGAGCCAAAGTGAGATCCCTACAGGAGCCAGACTCTCAGAGAACGGCTGAGAGTAAGAGACTAGAAGACTTCCTTTCTGGAGATGTGGTGAGGACACCTGTCATCTCAGGCTCTGGGTGGGAAAAGAAAGAAATCAGAACCTCAAACTTGTGTAATATGTAGGCGTGGAACAGGAATCCTAAGCCAAGAACATAACAAAAACTAGTCCTAAAGTTCTGAAACCCACGAGTCCCAACAGTTCTAGGCACAGAACCACTGCGGAGGGACATTTCCAACCCAGGACCCACAGGACACCAGGGAAACACGATCTCCCTGAAGATGAGCTGGTACGCATGTTCTTCCCCCAACACACACACACAGAGAATGGAAACGAATCACACTGAGGTAGAACCAGCAGACGCAACAGAGAGAATCAACATTTACAAGGACCAGAGATAACAAGCGAAAAACTAGAAAATAAATATTTAAAATAATTAAGGAGATAAAGGAAGAGGATGAAAGAAGTGCATATTCAAAAACGAAGAATGGATTTGAAAAGGAACCAAGTTGGTCATTTAGAAATGAAAAGCTGTTTACTAAAGATCATGTATAAGAAGTAAAAAAAAAAAAAACAAACCCCAGAAAACTCGAGTTTCTCAGCAGTTCTTTTAGAACAAAATGGTGAAATCCAACCTAATCTGCCACTAACAGGTTTGTTAGGGGTGAGCACACATCCTGGAACCTACTGCTAGGGACACACAGAGAAGGGAGATGACTGATGTTTATCCTTCAAAAAACTCACAGGAAGGAGCCAAGCTAGAATGCCAGCAATGGCTGCCCCGGATCATAATACTATGGGTTATTTCTCTCCCAGCTTTTTAAAATTTCTACTCTTTCATGGGGCTGGCCCCATGGCATAGTGGTGAAGTTCGAGTGCTCTGCTTTGGCGGCCCAGGGTTCACAGGTTCATATCCTGGGCACAGACCCAGCACTGCTCATCAAGCCATGCTGTGGAGGCATCCCACATAGAAAATAAAGAAAGATTGGCACAGATGTTAGGTCAGTGACAATCTTCCTCAAGCAAAAAGAGGAAGATGGGCAACAGATGTTAGCTCAGGGTCAATCTTCCTTACCAATAAATAAATAAATAAATAAATAAATAAATAAATAAATTTCTACTCTTTTAGAAAGTTTCTAAGATGTGTACATATTTTATTTTCTACTAGGAAGGGGAATATTAGAGCTTTTATTCCACCAAAAATGTCTCTCCTGGTCAGAATAACACTGAATTTATTGCACAACATATCACCCTGAATAGAAAAAGGAAATCTTTAGTCTTTGGCCAAAGGAAATGTGATGTTTGGGATAAATAACAGAAGGCAGCCTCACAGCCCATGCTACAGGGTGCAGAGGCCCACAGAGGGCTCTGAGTGGGGAAAAAGGCACTGCGATTATGGACCCAACACCAGGCTCATGGGCAATGAGAGGAATCAGCCAACAGGGCATGAGGATTCCCCAGAGGGAGCAGAAGTCAGGGTCTGAGCTGAGTGGGTGGGACCGATAAACCAGCTTAGAAACAAAGGGACAATTCCTGCATCTGCTGCCACCGGCCAAAGTCTTCCGAGGCTTCACCCAGACCTTGAGCAGCCAGCAAGGGTAGGGATGTACTAAGCAAGTCACCAGAGTGTGTCGGGGAAGACCACTGCCGACGGCTCCTCTCCCTTCTCCCGAGGTAGTATAACCAAAGGTGGGCCTGCCCTTTTCTCTGAGGACAGTGCTGGTCCCAACAGGAGAGACCAGTTACGAGCATTGTTGTGACCCACCCTGGCCTAAAGGACCTGCCTCCAGTTCCTAAACGGATAGTGACCCAGCTTCTGCCTGACAGCCCCTCCCTCACGTCTGAACTCCTGGGAGCCAGGGAGACTGCAGAATCGGAGGCTGTGCAAATCAGGCCTTTGTGCACGGGAGAGCGGGGTTTGGAAAGCTGGCTTGTCCCAGCCCCAGCTCCCTGCATCAGCAGGCCTGGCAGTGGTCCTGTGTGGAGTGGCCCCTGCAAGTTCCCACCTCTGCTGTGGGCCTGCTGAGAGCAGACTGCAGTGACACAGGACCACACTCCTGGTGGGCAGTTGTTGCTGCCACCCAGACCAGGCACCGATGATACAATTCAACTCAGACACTAACTTCCCGCAGTTCTCAGAGACCCCACAGGTTATGGGCACAGTCCTCTACAGACTGCCATTTTGCTTCAGAGCCAGCCACAGTCTCAGGGGGTCCCCAGGCCACCTGCACTTCTCACTAACTGCCTATGAATTCAGGGGTTCCCACAAACCCTCAGGATCAATAAATTGCCAGAACACTTTGCAAGACTCAGGAAAGCACTATACCTAGGATTACAGTTTTAATATAAAGGGTACACATAGGGTGAAGTCTGGAAGAGTCCTGAACGCTGATCTTCCATGTCCTCTGCCCATTGAGTCAGGGTGTGTCACTCTACCAGGCAGCTTCTCTGTACCTCAGTGTCCAGAGTTCTTATTGTGTTTCATGACACAGGCATGATTGGTTAAATCACTGGTCACACGATGGAACTCATTCTCCAGCCCTCCTCCCCTCCCGGGAGGTTGAGGGGCCGAAAATCCCAGCCCTTTAATCACAAGCTTTGTCCTTTTGGTGACCAGCCCCATCCTGAAGCTGTCTGGGGGCGCGGTGAATCACTTCATTAGCATAACAAAGACATTCCTGTCACTCAGGAAATTCCACAGCTTTTTGAAGCTCTGTGCCAGGAACTGGGAACAAATACCAGATATATTTTTATCATGCCACAGCTGTCTTCTGAGAAAGCACTTAGCAGGTGAAGGCCTAGCGCTTGGCACCCCTGGCGAGAAAGAGGCAAAGTGCTTCCTGCTGAGGGGATGGCAGTGTTACCACTTCCCAGTGAGGGGCAGCAGCTTTCCAAGAAAGCCCCTCCCGCTCTAGGGAGACCAGCAGATGAGTCAGCTGGCCGGGCGCACAGCCCAAGATCTTATCAGGAAACTCTGACCAGCATTAGTGTCTGAGCAGCACAAGCAAACCTCACGGAGGGCACTCTGATCTGAGCAGGCCCCACACAGCACCAAAGGGACAGGAGTGTCAGGAAAGCAGGGCTTTTGTCCAAATTCTGCAACTGGCCTCACCCTGTTCTCCCCCCACCTTCAGGTTAACATCAGCAGCATCGACCCAAGAAGCACTTGCAAGCATTCGGGAGATTAGGGGTCCTTTTAGAGGGACAGAAGCTGCTCCACTCTGCTGAGGTCTGGTCCGGCTTCTCTCGGAGAACGAGGTGTTCCAGAGCGGGGCTGGGACACCCTGAGGCATTCTCCAGAGTTCAACTCACCCCTCCAGGAACACGTCCAGCCCAAGTGCACCCCAGACATATTGAAACCGTCCCTGTCTACAAATGAGCCTCTGGCTCTCCTCCAGGAGAGAGGCGACTGAACACGAATGGGGGTGATTTCTCATCACCAGCTGACCTGCCTTCAGAGGGCCTTTTTATCCTTTGTCTTGAGGACAGTGGGGTGAATAGGAACAGGAGCTATGACCAGGTCCCCACCCCCCATACGGATACCTTCATGGCCATCAGCTCTTGCATCAGCACAGCGTTTTCAAGATCGAGCCGCTGGCTGTCTCCCCGGGGCTTGACGTCGTAGCTGAGAGGATCGATGTGGATGCTCTCCAGCTCCAGCATGGTCAGCTTGACTGCGGCCCTGTCATTTTTGAGCTGCTGGATATAATCCTTCAGCCTCTGCTCATCTTCTTTAGTAAACTCGGTATCACAGCTACTGGCTGTGGAGCTGGTGGTGCTGAGAAGACAGACAGAAAATCCATCACATTCCCAAGTCACTGTTAATAGGTCTTCCCTCCTCACTCTTCTCCACATCCCGTCTCCCCAGCAGTATTTAGACGGCAGTCCAAAAAGAGCATTCTTCACAGTAGAGTCAATTGACACCACTTTTAGGAAAGAAATACGTATGAAGAATAAGAGAAATGCTTACACCCTTTAACACAATGTTGAGGACCCTAGAAATGAATTATAAGGAAATAATTCCACAGAAGCAACAAGATACACACAAAGATGTTTCATAGAATATAGGGTTTATGAATTATAGTACACATCAAAAGGAGAGAAATGACGTGGCTATCACAGTAGTAATTATGACAACGGCGGAGACATTTCAAGTGAAGAAATAGGATGAAAAATAGTATGTGTGTAATAAAAATAGGTGTGTGTGTGGACAGGACCTAAAGGGCTATGTTAAGGGAACAAAGCAAGTCAAAGAACAAAATACCTATGGCATGATCTGTAGATGTATGTGTGTGTGTGTGTCCACACACTCACATGTACACACACGTCCCAGACTGCTGAGAGTAGTCCCCTCGGGGCAGGAGCTGGAAGGAGTGGCAGTGAAGGGGGATGCTGTGTACCATGAAAAACACAGGTGTGTATGATACTGCAATCACACCAAGAAAGCAGGGCGCCCCCAGGCCTCCACAGCCATTCCTCCCGTAGCACGGCTGAGTATGGGTCCACCACAGGACTCAGGCAAGTCCAAGGGGTCCTTGGCTGCCCACGCTGAATGGAGATGGGCAGGGGCTGCCAGACCTAAGGGGAACCTCGGGCTGAACCTCAGGAACGTGGTGGCCTGTGAAGGCTTCTGTGGGACCCAGACCATCATGAAAGGGTGAGTACCACAGGAAAACTGAGGCTCTCAAGACAGTTCTGGCCTTTTCCAGCAGTGGGGGGCTGCCCCCACTGGCTCAGAATGAGGCCCACTCCACCCAGTTGGTCCTTGAGCATTTGAGGCCAGCGTGGGCCTACTGCAGTTTCTCTGGACCTATACTGGACCTGCCTACTCTTGATGGGGCCCACACAGAACCAGCTTTGGAAAGATGGCAGAAAAACAAGCAGGGGCCCATTTAACTCTCGTCAAAACAGGCTAGGCTGGCATTACTATCTTTGTCGTTGTGGATTTGGAAACTGAGGCTTAGTGACATTAAGTGGCTTGCCCAGTCATGAGGCTAGAAACTGGTGCAACTGGACTCGGGCCACAGCCTTCTCATTCCACAGCCCTGCTTCCTAAGATTCCTGTCACTAAAAGCTGTGCCACAAGCAAGGAGTGGTATCCACAGGCTGTTGGCTGCCACGAGCCCAGGCCTGTTCTCCTCACCGCACACTGGAACAGAGACAATGGGCCCAGGCCCCCAACTCAGCAGATGTAATCTTCTGATAACCTAGGTTATCAAGGGCCATTCCACTCTTGTACATGACACATTATCAAGAAGATAAGCTTCTGGGGAAAGAAGGGTGAGAAGGGATGGTGGGCTGGCCCTCTGCCATTCAGCTGGCTGTGCACATAAGGAAGAGAAAGTCCTAGGGCTTGGGGTGGTCTGAGAGAGAACTCCTGCTAGGACTGGAAGCTCCTGAGCACCAGAAACTCTGGGGCTGCCTCCCATTCCCTTTGCCCCAACAAGACAGGTAGGACACATCATGGAGATGAAGAGAGCAAGATCGGCCTGACCAACACACAACACCTCTTCACGGATTTCGATGGTTAATTTTATGTGTCAACTGGGCTAGGTTCTGGAGCCCAGCTGTTGGCGAAACACCTGTCTAGATGTTGCTGTGAAGGTATTTTTCAGACGTGATTAACATTTAAATCAGTAGACTTTGAGTAAAGCATATTAGCTTCCATAATGTGGGTGGGCCTCATACAATTAGTTGAAAGCTTCAAGAGAAAAGACTGAGATTCCTCGAGAAAGAAGAAATTCTGCCTCCAACCAGTCTTCAGACTTAGGACTGTAACATCAACTCTTTCCTGGGTCTCTAGCCTGCCTGCCTGCCTGCCCTGCAAGTCTGCTAGACCCCATGAGAACTGGAGCCAATTCCTTAAAACAATCAGTCACTCCATCAGTCACTCTCTCTCCGTAAACATGCCTGCGTGCGCACACACACATCCTATTGGTTCTGTTTCTTCGGAGAACCCTAACACAGAGGTGCTCTCTTTATCTGTGACCGGAGCATCTGGAAACGCTTAGCAGATCTAGAGGTAGCATGGCTCACCTCTCCATGCCTACTTCCTCATCTACAAAATGATGTCATAATGGGACCTGCTTCACAAGTTTGTCATAAGGATGACACGTGGTGAATGAAAACTGTTCAGAACAGTGCCCAGTACCCAGCAAGCCCTCGAATGCAGCTATCATCCACTAATTTAAGAAATACTGGAGTGCCTACTACAGGACACTCTTCTAGGCCTAGAAAAATCCCTGCCCTCGTGGAATTCCTATTCTAATAGAGGAGACAAGCAAGTAAAATATACAGTACATCAGACAGTGAGAGGTACCATGGAGAAAAGTGAACGAGGTACAGGGAATGCGAAGTGGCGATGGGATCATTATTTGAAATGGAGTTGTGGGGAAGGCCTGCCTGATAAAGGTACATTTGAGTAGATCCAAAGGAGGCGAGAAAGAGAGCTATGTGGCTATTTGGAAGAACACTGACCCAGGCAGAAGACTCAACAAATGCAAAGGCCCTGAGGCAGGGGGCTTGGCTGGCAAGAATGAGATTGTGGCTGAATCAGAATCAGCTAGAGAGGAAGGAGAACTGGTCGGAGAGGAGAGGGCCAGGTTATGTAGGGTTTTATCAGGGTCGTGTCTTTTTCTATAGAATTAGAATGGAAGCCACTGGAGAGCAGTAGAAAAATAACGATTGGCCTCACATTTTAACAGGATCCCTCTGGCAGTGGCGCTGAGGAGAGAGGCAGGAAGGCCCAATAGGGAGCCACTGCACCAATCCCGAGGAGGGAGGGTAGAAGCTGGGAAGGAAGATAAAATTATTAATTATCATTGTTTTTTCAAGCCATATTTTAAAAACGATGAGAAGGGGGGCCAGCCCAGTGGCATAGTGGTTGGGTTTGCATGCTCTGCTTCAGTGGCCCAGGGTTTGTGAGTTCGGATCCTGGGTGCTGACCTGTGCACTGCTCATCAAGTCACCCTGTGGCAGTGTCCTACATACAAAATAGAGGAAGGCTGGCACAGATGTGAGCTCAGAGTCAATATTCCTCACCAAAAGGAAAAAAAAAAAAAAACGATGTCGGGGAGAAGCAGCAACATCCTCCATTTGGAACACTTCAGGTCAATTTCACAAAGAAATGGAGCAGCTCAAGAGAAGCATCAAGACAACTGGGAGCCCAGCGGGGCATGTGAGGATGAGAGCTACCAAATAAGAGGGTCTTATCTAAGGAGGAGCGGGGTCCCTCCCTCAGCCTCTCAGCGTTCTTCAGCCTGCGGACAGCTCGGGGAGGCAGGCCTCGGACAAACCACCAAGGGGGGCTTGGAGCTCATCTTCATGGACTGGCGGCCCTGACGAGGAGGGACAGATGTAGGACGCTCCACAGGCAAACGAGCACCGGAACTAAAGCAAACGGAAGTGGCGGCACTGATCGCCGAGATTCCAGGGCCGAGTGTGAGGGCGCTCACGTTGCGGCAGCTCGGACAGTGTGACGCTGGGCAGGATCAACCCTTTTCCTCCAGTGAGTTGGGAGGAGGCCACTTAGGGACGAAATCCCTTCTCGTGAGGCTGGGACTCAGGATTGGAGGTTCACTTTATCACCCGAGTCCTTCCTTTCATGGAAAATTATTTTGAAAAGTTTTAAACATACAGAAAAACACAGAGATTAACCAGCACCCATGGACCTACCACCTAGGTGGCCTTTTTGTCACATTTTCTTTGGACGACTTTTTTAGAAATAGAACATTAATACTTGGGGCCGCCTTTGTTTCCTTTCACTTAAAAAAGAAATTTCAAAATTCAAAGAGCACTGGGAGCTGGAGATCTCTAATTATTCTGCAGGCACGGAGGTAATAATGCTTGGGCAGAGTCTCCGTTTGGCAGGGCTGGTGCACCCCGGGTGGCTGTCAGAGCAGCCGCTGGGCTGGGCACAGCAGCATGGCCTGGGGGCTGGTTAGGAATGCATGTTCCCAGGCCCCCAGCCCCAGGACCTACAGAATCAGGGACATTGGAGTGGAGCCAGCAATCTGTACTTGAAGGCACCCTCCAAGGGATCCTGAGGCACGGCCAGGTATGGGAACCTCTGGTCCTCCCCACAGGATACGTGGGTCTTTATTTAGTCATCTGGGAGGTGACAGCACCCTCCAACATTCTCTACGGAGAGGCCACTATGCTCTTGGGCTGCCCTGGTGGGTGCCAGTGATCGCGAGCAGGTCTCCAACATCAGACAGACCTGAGTAAATACTCTTCCTCTGCCACTGCCTAGCTGTGTGGCTCAGAGTAAATGAGCCAACCTTTCTGGCCTGCGGAAGGGTTGGGGTGGGGGGGGACAAAGAGTTCCCATGGCAACAGGTTGTGGAAAGGAGACAACCGGTCCTGAGCAGGCAGGACCAGCTAGTGCTGCCACACAGCACTTGCTCTGGGGGAGGAAGGGGGACAACTGTGCCAATGGCCCCGTGACACCCAACACCAGACTCAGGGAGTCCCCCAGGGAGGTCAGCCGCCCAGCAAGTCATGCAGAAAACCCCCATCTGAGGGAGAAGCAAAGCGGCAAGTGCTCGACCGGACTTGAGAAACCACCAAGAACCATCAGGGAGAACACGAACGTGGGTGGGCAGGCTTTGGGGTGTCCTGGAGCCCTCAAGGGCCCAGGGCCTGACCCCTGGCCAGGCGGGGAAGCCGTTTGTTTCACCATCTCTGCTGTGGGTGCAGTTTTTAGAAAGGAAGAAAAAGAAAAAAAAACAAAAGATCGCCCTCCACAGATCCTACCCCTGTTGGAAGCTCAGAGGTTTA